GTTGCGGGTTGAGGGTTTACAGACCAAAACCCTCTGTTTCTCTCCGAAGCTTCAGGCCTGCGTGCAAATTACATGGTCGCTGTCTGCGCTCCCTTCAGGGGGCCTCTTGGGTTGTACACATCGGGGCAGATGTATAGGCTTTCCAGTCACTATGGGTACGTGTAATCCTAAACCCCAAACCCCAAACCCTAAATCCTTGCTAAACTCTAACATCAGGCACACAGCAACCCCTTGAGCTGCTCGAAGGACCCGACATTGGTGTTTGGATTCGGGGTTTTGGGGTTTTGGGGCTTTTGGGGGTTCAGGGTTCAGGGTTCAGGGTTTAGGGTTTAGGGTTGGGGGTATGGGGGGTTTGGCGGTTTTGGGGGTTTGGGGAGTTTTTTGCGGGGCAGGGGGTTTCGGGTTTAGGTTCTAAGGCTGAATGAAGAGCTCAAGGTTTTATGGTGGGTTTGGCAGTGTAGCAACTGAACACTTGCAAGTGTGGCTTTGGGTGCCATTCCCCCCACATGGAAACACAGTGTGGGATTGCTTGGCTTCAGGCAGCAGGTCTATGATAGAGGGTGAACCCTAAACCCTAAACCCTAAGCCCCAGAGCCCATAGCTCCAAAGCAACAAACCCGGAGCTCAAGAAGCCTCGGAGCCTTTCGTTCCTAAATCTTCAGCTAGGGCCCCTAAACCCTAAACCCTAAACCCTAAACCCCAAAACCTTCAGTGCCAAGGAGTCAGGGTTTTGGGTTTAGGTTTTCGTTTTAGCCATCTTCTGCATCCTCCTTATCGGGTTCTTAGGGGAGGGGGGTTCAAGCGGGGTAGGTGCCTGAGGAACCTTGGGGAAGCTTAGGGAGCCTTAGGGAGTAGTATGGGTTACATACCCCCCTTGAACCCCCGTCGCTAAGACCCCTATAAGTCCCAGGAGGGTTTGGAAAGCAGATTCCCCCTTTCCAGGGTTCCTTGAAGTTGCCGCCAAATGCTGCAATTCTCTCAAGGGCTCAAGGGAGTTTAGGGTTTAGGGGTTTAGGGTTTTGGAGTTCAGGGTTTAGTTGGGGTTTTAGGGGTTTAGTGTGGCTCCAGATGGCAATTTGAACCCTTTCTGCACCGTGTGGAACCAAAAAGCGGACCCTATTCTGCAAGACTACCTGCTTCCACCCAGACTCTGCATAGGATCCGGGAAGTGGTCTCCCAACTTCGTACCCTATACTAGGCACCTTGGGGTTTGTTGGCATCCCGCGGGGGCGCCCCCGTCTTGCGTGGGACGTCCCACCTCCAACCACCAACCCTAAACCCCTAAACCCCTAAACTCCTAAACCCCTAAAACCCTAAACCCGAAACACTAAGCCCCTAAACCCCTAAGCTGTCTTGAGCCCTTCAGGAACACGTGTTGATTTGCCGTTTGTCGCCCATGATGGGGAGTGTAGGGCTCAGATCTCAGGTACAGAGAAGCCCATGGGCCTCATAGCCTTAGGATTTAGGGTTTGGGGTTTAGGGTTTAGGGTTTAGGGTTCAGGGACAACCTCATCGGCCAACTTGGACTTTGCAAGGGGACATACAAAGTCCGCTTTGGGCACATCCGAAGGCGGCTCGGCCGTGGAGGAGTTTGACACTTTGGCGTCCTACTTCGTCAGCCACACAGTCTTGCGTGTTGAACTTACCTTGTTTGGCGGTGACAAACAGGCAAAGAAGCCTGCCGACGAAAACATCACGGGCGTCAGGGTCTCTTCAGGCCAGAAACTCGCGGAGGACCTCCGAAAGTGGAGTCCTGAGACGCTTGAAATTCGAGTCCAACTTCTTCAGAGAAGTCTAAGGCTGTTGGAGTTAAGGTTGCGGGGTTAGGGTTTAGGGTTTAGGGTTTAGGGTTTAGGGTTTAGGGGTAGAGGACACACATACCTGGTCCAGTACAGCGTGATCCGGAAGTTCTTGATGGAGCCCGACCATGATGGCAAGGCGCGATCCAGAGTGCTGCCTCATGGGTTCCCCGACTACCCCCCTGGCTTAGGGTTTAGGGTTTAGGGTTTAGGGTTTAGGGTTTAGGGTTTACGTAGGGTTTAGGGTTTAGGGTTTAGGGTTTAGGGTTTAGGGTTTAGGGTTTAGGGTTTAGGGTTTAGGGTTTAGGGTTTGGGGTTTAGGGTTTAGGGTTTAGGGCTACTACGCCCCCCTAGGTTCCCCCCATTAAGGCAATTGAGGGAGACGCAAGCCTGATTAAGGTTAATGCTGGGGGGAACCGGGGGGGGCGGGGTAGGACAGAGGAGGGTGATAGGGAACCAAGTAGTCCAAGGTGGGCAAATCCCCCAAAAATAGGGTGCCCCCTTATATCCCCAAAATGCTCCAACCCTGCTTCTCGTACCCCGTCAAAGGCAGACACTTGGCCCCTAAACCCTGAACCCTAAACCCTAAACTCTAAACCCGTATCCTGATGTTGAGGGTTGAGGGTTGAGGGTCAAAAGCGCTCCCCATCTCGGCCAGCCCTGTTTCTTGGGTGAAGCTGAAACTCTACACGTCACGTGCACCGGATCCACTCCCCTTATGCGTCAGTTCTTGAAGGGGAATGAGGGGAAGTAGGTTTCCATATTTTCTCATTGCGCGCCTCCCATTCTGATGAGGGTTTCGGACCTACTCGAAGCATATTCGTGGAATTCTCAACATGTGGAAACCTATTTTGAGGTTCCTTGGAAAATTGTCTGTATTATATGAAAGGTATATAGGGGGGTTGTCTGTATTATATGAAAGGTATATAGGGGGGGGGTACCCCTTTTGTGGTGAAATACCCATTTGTGGAGGGGGGGATCTTTGTGGATGGTTGCTGGCTCTTCGCCCTACTTCTACCTGACCCTTGTTCCGAGCCACCCCACAATCCCAAAGGCCTCCTAGTCGACCATGACACAAGTGTGCGTGTCCGGGTGTTTGTGTGCGTGCGCGAGTGCGTGTCTCTGTGTGCGTGTTCTTCTGACGACTCCTTTCTGTCACTCAACACATCTCAGCCCTAAACCCTGAACCCCGACCCTAAACCCTAAACCCTAAACCCTAAACCCTAAACCCTAAACCCTAAACCCTAAGTGCGACAGGTGGAGCTCGTCTGAGCCGGGGTCAGGAGTTGCTGCGAATCTTATGGGGCCTAGGAAGGAGATGCTTCTCCCCGAATCTTGCACCCTAAATGCCCTGAAACGCCCTAGGATGCCATAAGATTCCCTGATATGCTCCAAAAATGCCACAAAAATGCCCGAAGATGCCCCAAAAATACCCTAGGAAGCCCTAAAATGCCCTAAACTCTCTGCACTTCTGAGGCCTGAGCCCTGATCACATGTTTTCGGCTTCCAGCGTCTCCTCACGTGTAGGGCTTACAAGATCTGAGAGTTTAGGGGTTGAGGGTTTAGGCTTTAGGGGTTTAGGGTTTAGGGATTAGACACAGAGGGTTTAGGGCTTAGGGTTTAGGGCTTAGGGTTCAGGGTTTAGGGGTGCAGGGTTTAGAGTTTGGGGTTTAGGTCCTGTTGTGACTTGTACTATCCTGAAGAACCTGCTCGAAGCCTTTTCTCACACCCTACCCTGCGATAACTGTCCGGATGTGGGGAGGGTACCAGACCTCTGCCTAAAAGCCCCCAACATCAGAATTCCTCCACTGTGCCTAGCACTGCCTCATGAGCAGCGTTGCAGCTCTGACGTGGGGGCCTTTGAGGGGATCTCGGGCAAAGGGCGCCGGCACAAAAAGTCATGCAAACACGCCTCCAATCACTTGCCTTGAGTAGGCGACTGCATCAGAACGAAGATTTGCATTGGTGGTCGCTAGACGCGCTTTCATGTGTTGAAGCAACGCTTGGCTACGTTTAAGTAACGAGTATGCGTTGGCATGTCTCGTGCACATTCAACAGGCTGGACAGCCAGTGGCCAGGAGCAGGCTATATAAGGATGTAACCTGACTCTGAGAGCTGCCTTCCAAAGAAGCATGCAGGGTTTAGGGTTTAGGGTTTAGGGTTTGGGGTTTTGGGTTTTGGGTTTTGGGTTTTGGGTTTTGGGTTTTGGGTTTGGGGTCTAGGGTTTAGGGTTTAGGGTTTAGGGTTTAGGGTTTAGGGTTTAGGGTTTAGGGCCTTAGGACTTTTAAGGCTACCACTGGATGCTCTCCACCGCCTCCGCTCCGCCCGGAACCTCTCCCAAGCTTTGTCGGACGAGCCCGCCAGGAGAGGGCCCGCACCCAGAAGCTTAGAAGATAACCATGCCAATAGCAGGAGGGGCCCTAAACCCTAAACCCTAAACCCTAAACCCTAAACCCTAAATAGACCCTAACCCTAAACCCTGTGCCACGCCCTGATCTCCACGTCGCAGTAGCTGGCTTTGCAATCGACCGGGGAGCAGCTGCTACCAAGTAGCCCTGCTCCTGGCAAGCCCTTAGGGCCTTAGCTGTCAACCCCAAATGCCACGTTGAAGACCCGGGTTTAGGGTTTAGGGTTTAGGGTTTAGGGTTCAGGGTTTAGGGTTTAGGGCCTTTGTTTTGGATCCCTTGGTTTTTGCCGAAGATGTTGCTTCTTGATCTTGTCGGAAGCGACAGCGCCACAACCAAGCTTGGCACGTCGATGCCGCGTAGCCTACACACTGTAGTGCCTAGCATTTCTGTTGAACCCCCCCCCCCCCCCGCATTTTCGGCCATGGGTGCCCAGCGTGCAAACGCCACCTCCATTTTGCACTGGGACGCGTACCAGAAGCTTGCCAGCCGACTGCCGGGCATCCTCGAAGAGGCCAACGGATACGGATGGGGAAGTCCGGGTTGCATCATTCATTGCCTGCCAAATTGCACCGAGGGCTCATGAAGCAAGGCTCCGTGTAATCGGAGCCACCCTAACCCTAAACCCTAAACCCTAAACCTTAAACCCTAAACCCTAAACCCTAAACCCTAAACCCTAAACCCTGACCCCTAAACCCTGAACCCTAAACCCTAAACCCTAAACCCTGCACGTGGACTTTTTGAAGGTTTCTTCCCCGGCTTACCTTGGGGGACCCACAGAACCTGCCCAAAGCAGGGACGTCGCGGCGGCCATGACGTCGACCGAGATCCGCTGTTGGCCCCCTGGCTTGCTCTCCCTAAACCCTAAACCCTAAACCCTAAACCCTAAACCCTAAACCCTAAACTAGATGCCGTAAAGTCTAGGCCCAAAAGCCAAACCTTAAGGCTCCATGTACCTAAATAGGGAAGACTTGGGCCTTAAAGTACCTCCTATATAGGGACTTTAGGGCCCAAGTACATAAGAATGAGGTACCTGGACCCTTGGGCAAACTTCCTGTCGGTAGCAGGGACCAACTCTTTCGCGCAAAGTACTCGCTGTGAGCCGAGCTTTCCAGATGCCCGAAGCCAAGACTTACGGTTGGTTAGTAGAGAATGGGGGAATAAGGTACCCTACATATTCCCTTAAAGGGTATATTAGGGGCCCTAATTCCTTCATTCCCTGCTAACCAACAGTAAGAAGAAGAACAGGCCCTGGACCCGCCGAATCTTCTCCGCCGCTACCTGATCGCCGAGGACACTGCTCAGCCACGCCTTGTCCCTAAACCCTAAACCCTAAACCCTAAACCCTAAACCCTAAACCCTAAACCCTAAACCCTAAACCCTAAACCCAATTTGCTGTTAGGAAGTATGCCCGCAAGCCTCCGTAGTACGAAGCTCCTTCACGAATTTGCATGTGCAGCTGTTGTTGACGATCAATTAACTAAAGGAGGGACCCTTATCAGGGACCTTGGGTACATAGGGACTGTATAAGGTATATATAGGGGTTATGTGTACATATATATATATGTATATATGGGTTATATCGGGGAATAAGATTACGGGTCCCTTGTCTAACCCTGCACCCTAAACCCTAAACCCTAAACCCTAAACCCTAAACCCTAAACCCTAAACCGCTCAGACGAAGAAGGATTGGGATGTGGACAAAGCCGCAGAGCGCCTGCGAAGCACCATTGCCTGGCGACGTGACTGGCGGGTGATGGAATATTATCAACCAGGCAGGTTTAGGGTTTAGGGTTTAGGGTTTACGTAGGGTTTTAGGGTTTTGGGGTTTAGGGTTTAGGGTTTAGGGTTTTAGGGTTTAGGGTTTAGGGTTTAGGGTTTAGGGTTTAGGGTTTAGGGATGCTTGTCAAGCATCATTCACGACAACGGACACCAGCATGCTTCTACCATGATGAGGTCGCGCACAGTATCTCTATGATGAGAGTACGAACCCAGGCACCATGGCTGCAAAGAACAGCAGCGATGGTGTCGTTGGATTTAGGGTTTAGGGTTTAGGATTTAGGGTTTAGGGTTTAGGGTTTAGGGCTGCAGTGGCAGGTGTGCAGTTTGCAACAAGCGGCCCAGCCTAGCTATCTCGACTGAGGTTCTGAGATGTACTTCGGAGACTCACTACACTTTGATCGAAGTGGGCGGCCATACATGGTGAGCTCGGCATGTGTTCATAGCCCAGGAATGGAATGCTCGCTTAACTTCGTCTCAGGAGTGTTTGGAAGTAAGGGTTCAGGGTTGAATGCTTATAGGGTTGAGGGTTTCAGGGTTTGGGGCTGCAGTCTCATGGATGTGTCTTGCAGTTCGGGCACCCGATAGCCCAACCGTGCCCGTATCCGAGGTCGGGCGATTTCGCCTTTGCAACGCCGAGCGAATGCACCCATGGAGGCTCTACAATCATAGGTTCCCCCTCTATCTAAACCCCCCCTAAATTCCCCCCAGAATTAGGGTTATTTAGGGATAATTATGCCTCAATAAAACTATTTAAGGGGGGGAAACCTAGGGGGGGTAGTATAGAGGGGGCAGTAGGCCAACCTATGATACAAGCGAGATCACCATATGACCCGAAAGTCGGCACTAAACCCTGAGCGTACCCGCAGGATACCTATATAGTATATACTTGGGTGCTGCAGCTCTTACATGGGAACCCCTGTAAGGCCCAAGTACATACTATATAGGTACATGGATCCTTAGAGATAGTCCCCCAAACCTTACGTAGCATGGTTTTTGTTGAACCCTAAGCCCTAAACCCTAAACCCCAAACCCTAAACCCTGAACCAAGCCATCTCCCATGGGAAGAGCCCGAAGTTTCTTCTGCCGTGCGTTGTTTTCTTACCAAGGGCACATAAACTGTCTCAGGCACTTGCGTGCTGGCATCTACGCGCTGGATAGATTTGCGCTGAAGATTATTCAGAAAGGTGCCGGCCCCAGCATGTCACTGACGTAGGACTTCTGCACGCAGAGCCAGTACTTGGCTTTCTTCTGGCAGGCTCTTAGGACTTGAACTTTTTGGGGTTGTGCAGAAACTACATTAAGGAGCCGCCTAAAAGTTATGAACTTTTAGGAGGGGAAGTAATCCAAGAGTATACGTGCGTGGCTGCATGGAGGTTTACGTTTTAGTGGGTTTGGGGGCATCATGTCGTTACTCTTGCAGATTGAACCAGAGTCGAGCGCAGTGTTGCTTGAACTGCCAGTGCTGGTCGAGGGTGGATCTCTGCCACTCTCAGAAGTGCACATCCGCGCATCCTCCGGGCCCGAAACCCTAAACCCTAAACCCTAAACCTTAAACCCTAAACCCTGTGTGTCTTGTGAGGTTGTGGCTATGGCAGCTACTTGCTTGACATTGGCAGAGCACCTCGGCCTCTTTGTTGCTCTCTTGGCACAAGTTCCGCAGTTTAGGGTTTAGGGTTGAGGGTTTAGGGTTTAGGGTTTAGGGTTTGGGGTTTGGGGTTTAGGGTTTCCGAGTGAGTTGAGGTGGCAGAGAGGAGCTCCTTCAGTGGCACAGGCAGACTTGGGATGGAAGCTGTGTGAGATGCCCCATCCCTAAACCCTAAACCCTAAACCCTAAACCCTAAGCCCTAAACCCTGGATGTCTCACCTGGATGTGAACAGCCGCATGCTGCTTGAAGGGCGTTCCTTGTTGAGATGTGGCTCTTTTTGTTTGTTGGGATGCGTTTCCGTTCTGGAGGCGGCGGCCAAGACTTCTTCCCTCAGGACTCTTGGGCAACTCCCCAAATAGGGGTACCCTTAATACACCCCCCAAATAGTGTAACCCTATGTAACCCTTATTATAGGAACCCCCTAAAATGGTACCCCTGTTTTCGTAAACCCCCACTTTGCTTGTATGTGTCGCAGCTTTGATTGCAGACGCTTTGCACAAGCCTCTCACCGCGCAAAAGTAGAAAAGAGGGCCGAGGTCGTCATCCCATCGGTTGTTACACAGCCGGTTTAGGGTTAAGGATTTTAGGGTTTAGGTTTTGAGGTTTAGGGTTCAACATGCCTGTATGTTTGCGTGAGCATGTGCAACGCTAAGCCCACACGGGCAGGAGAGAGATAGCAGGCCTTGAAGTGCCTCCTGGCAGTCCCGAAAACCTCGCTTGGAATGCTGCGCAAACGCGCAGGCATTTAATGAGATGTCCCCTCCAATTAGCCATGCAACTAGATGTGGGCCTGCAAATCAGCCAAGCCGATGAGGGAAGAACACGGGATGGCCGTGGCAGCCCAAAATTAGGTCGAACTGGCAACCCAGCATCACGACCCTAAACCCTAAACCCTAAACCCTAAACCCTAAACGAAGCTTTCTGGAGCTTCTGCAGCTAGAACAGGAGTCCAAGAACCCCTACTACCAGCAAGGTGCAGGCGCCGGTCCTGTCGCATCCACGATGTTATCCAACCCTGAACCCTGAACCCCAACCCCAAACCCTAAGCCCTAAACCCTAGACCCTAGACCCTAAACCCTAAACCCTAAACCCTAAACCCTAAACCCTAAACCCTAAACCCTAAACCCTAAACCCTAAACCCTAAACCCTAAACCCAAACCGGATCTGCAAGTGCTGAAGAAAGATGCCATTCCTGCCTCCTGACCCTCAGGCAAAGATGCTCCTGCCGAACTGCTGGAGAGGTATGGGGAGTTGAACAGTTCCTTGGGAGCAAATCACGAAGTGTAAGCCAGTTCACTTGAACATAGAATCCTAGAAGTAAGGAGTTCTTCTCTATTTCCAACGGGGTCTTTCTCTTTTTCTTGACATGCGGATGACGCTCTTTGGTGCCACTGACGTGGCTAGGTGTTTATATGTATATTTAATATGGGGAGGTTTCCGAAATATTAGGGTTCACCTATTTCGTAAACCCTAAACCCTAAACCCTGAACCCTACACCCTAAACCCTAAACCCTAAACCGCATTGCTTCAGCTCTCCACAAGCGGCGTCTTAGGTGGCATGGCCGTGCTACGCGCAGCGCTGCGCATAGCCGGGGACCATTATCCTGAGCTGTGGCGGGGCAGCATTGAGGGGTAATAAGGAGGGACCCCCTGAAGGGACCCTAAAAATCATATTCCCCCAGAACTATATACCTTATGTGGTCCCTATATGCCTATGTAGCCCCAAAACAACCCGGGTGCACATGGGGGTTTACGATATTAGGGGGTACCTAATTTGGGGTCCTTATTCCTTATCATAATCCTACCCTTTGGGGGGTTCTAACAATTAGTGGCCCCCTTGTTTTCGTCAAGCCCCCGCATGAAATGCAGAAGCCGTGGCTTGCTCCCGAGGCTGTCACGGGTGGTGTTTCTTCGCAGCGACTGGCTGTTCTCCTTGGCTTTCAAGGTGTTCCGACTTTGGGCCAACAAGAAGACAAGAGACCCTCGGCTGCCCTACGCCTTGCTAACATGTGCCGAGAGCAGTCCCGTTTAAGGGGATTCTATTCTATTTGTAGTATGAAAGGGGTATTTTCGAGAAGCAGCGCATCAGAGTAACTCGCACGATGATGTGTGGCTGCATGTTGAATACTGGTCCCAGTCTCATTAGATCAGCACTTGCTTCCTTTGAATATCAAGCGGATGTGGTCGATTAGAGTTCCCAGCCTTCGCAGGTTACACACAACTTCCCTACAATTTACTTAAGAACCCCCAAAAAAACACAAGAGTTGAAATCCCTATATTGCCCTTATAAGGAGGGTTTTTTGTTCCTTTGTCTTTTTTTTTTTGGCGGGGGGGGTGTGTGTTCTTAAGCAGTTTGTCGCTTCCTGTTCACTGACCATGTCCTGTCACCCCTCAAGGCGTGACCGACCTTGCACGGTCTTCTGCAGGGATTTGGGCGGGTTACCCAAGCGATCTTCTGCACCTGTGGGACAGAATCGGCTACAGACTTAAGGTCTGCCTTCAAGAGTAACCCTAAACCCTAAACCGTAAGCCCTAAACCTTAAACCCTAAGCTTTGTTTAGCCTTCGTGTCTCTTGTCAGAGCATATTTCCGGCATGAAGGTCCTGTGAGGTCAAAGTCGCCGCCAAGCACGCAACACTTGAACATCAGCCGGTTTAGGGTTTAGGGTTTAGGATGTAGGGTATGTGCCCTGTCCTGCTTGTTGTCAGATGGACATCGGGTTCGTGCAGGCCGCGCCAAGTTGTATGGGTGTTCAGAAGATAGGATAGGAGTCGCTGACAAATTCTTTGCCAGCTCACTTGAGCCCGAGGACAAGTTCTTGTTCATTGGTGGCAAAGCTGATCCGCCAATGGCGCAGTTGCAGGACAAGCGTTCATGTTGCTCCAATCGCACAATCGCTTTGCACATTGCGCAGTTTTGAAGGGCATCATACCTTGGGATGTGTTCCCTTATACTAACAGTCCTCAATAGGATTATACTACCCCCTATTATAAGATAAGGGGGAACATCCCAAATCATACCTTTTCATGGTCGCGCGTGCGCTGCGCCGACGACTGCTGACAGCCTGTCCGGTGAGCCAGCAACCACTCGGAGGTTCATGGGTACTTTTAACCCCAATTCTAAGTCCAGTTATCACCTACTTAGAGGACTTAGGGGGCTTATAAGTACAGTTCTACTTGGGGTTATAAGTACCCTGAACCTGCAACCAGGACTGGTTCCATTACCAGCAGCTGCCCGCTGAGAGCCTAAGCAAGCAAGTATTCGTCAAAGGGCTTCATCTTTGACAGCGCATGGCTGTTTGAAATGGCTTCCATGCGTTGTGTTGGGCTAGCGAGAGATGTACCGATGAAACCCTAAACCCCAAACCCTAAACCCCAGACCCTAAACCCTAAACCCTATAAACCCTAAACCCTAAACCGACCTTAGGTTCGGTGGGCAAGGATATTCCCTCGATGGCGATAACTTCTTACGCCGCGCGGTTGATCACCTCGACGCGGAGGCGAAACAAGGCCGAGTCAGCTCATGCGCTGCACGCCCTAAACCCTAAACCCTTAGCCCTAAACCTATATAAACCTAAACCCTAAACGCTACACCCTCAAGACAAAATAAATAGAATTTGTATGTGGTATGATTCTGAATTTTCCCAGGTTGTTTGTCTAAACAGCTGACAAGCATAGTTTAAGTACATTCACCCACAGCGCCTAGGAGGCCAAATGCTCAATTTACTTAAACCTCTGGCAAAGAATCCCAGGAGGCCAGCCAGGGCCGGAAGGCCAACAAAAATCACCTCAGGTTCTAAACCAGAAACTTTCGCTCAAAACTTTCGCTCAAAACTTATTGGGACCCCCTCCCCCCCTTGCCCCCTAACCTAATATCTGAAAAGAAACTTTCGCTCATAACTTGCGCTCAAAACTTTCGCTCAAAACGTTTCGCTCAAACTTATTCGGACCCAAACCTTATACAATTTCTATGAACCCTAAACCCTAAACCCTAAACCCTAAACCCTGCCGAAGATGGCAAGGTTGGGAGTTGCCTGAGACGTTGAATACAAACATCTCCATCTCCCAGCTTGCCTCGACGGAAGTGGCGGACGCAGGAGCTGCTGGCAACGAGCTCGGGTTTAGGGTTTAGGGTTTAGGGTTCAGGGTTTAGGGTTTAGGGTTTAGGGTTTAGGTGTGCTCCACTCACATCAAGCAGCAAGCAAGGGGTTGCCAACAACGGTTGCAGAAAGCATCGAGTCGGATGCTTTCGCGCAAGAGGTTGTGCAATCGTGTCGAGCGCATCTTCCCGAAAATCGACAGAAGCCTCTTGAAAGTTGATCCAAGGGAGTTCAGGTTCGGAGTCGAAAGGTGGGTATTTTGGGTCTAGGGTTGAGTGTTGAGAAACTTTTGGCTTTTGGAGCTTCTCAGGCGCTCCTTCATGCCTGTTCTTTGGCTCTTGATGCATTCTCCAACCTCAAAGTTAAAGGTTTGGGTTTAGGGTTTAGGGTTTAGGGTTTAGGGTTTCGGTAAACCCTAAACCCAAAACCCAAACCTCTAACGGGGTGGGGAAGCGGGACCGCAAGAAGTTTGTCGCAAGCAAGGGGGGTCGTAGGTGAGCTGCGCGCAGCCAGGAGAGGATGCGAGCAACATCTCCTCAAAAATCGGTGATATCTTCAGCCCCTTCCAGGCATCCCATGTAGGCTGCATAGTTTGGGGTTTAGGTAGCCAGAGTTGCAGCATGACAGCCGGAGATCCCCTCATTCCGTGAATCTGACCTTTCTTCCCTACACAAGGCCTGCTGTGGGTGTCTGCAGTTCTCTCCTCCGCGCCGGCGCACACAGAGCTACCCGGCAGCATGGAGGCCTGTCTCCTTCTTCTGCCGCAGCCAGCCTTGGGTACCCTAAGCCCTATAAGGATAAGGATTTAGGGTTTAAGGTTTTGGGTTTTGAAAAACCTAAACCCTGTTGTGTCGCTCTCCGGCTGGCCACAAGCAAGTAGTTTTTAAGGCCGGGCGCGTCTTCCACCCACGCCACAAGGCCCAGAGCCCAGCCGCCTGTCACAACAGCATGGGCCCTTAAAATGGTTTAGGGTTTGGGGTTTAGGGTTTGGGGTTTAGGGTTTAGGGTTTAGGGTTTAGGGTCCAAGGTTTAGGCTTGGGATGTTCCCCTTTTACTAACAGTCCTTAATCGGATAAAATGGCTCTGCCTCCGTTATCATCTTTAACTCATGTAGGGTCAGGGCTCGGGGCTTTCTGTTTAGGCTGTAGGGTGAAGTCTAGAGACGATTGAGTCATTGCACTTCCGAGAACAGGGCTATTTGTATCTTCCACCGCATGACATGTTACTTAATCCTAGAAAGGACCCCCCCCCAAAAAAAAGTAAAGCAAAAAAATGCAAAGACAAAGAACCATCGCGGCCATAAACGCTTTGATTCGTAGCCTGCCGCCGTTTCATGTTGCTTTCTCAAAGCAACGCCCGGTGCAGGTGACAGAGGGCCGTGTAGGTAAGGAGCTACGCTGAGACATAGCGAGTACATGGGTCATTTATGGTCTAGGGTTTGGGGTACCCTTATTCCTTCAGCCCTAAACCCTAAACCCTAAACCCTAAAGCTCTGGAAATCAGGGCAGGAGGCACGGTTTAAGGATTAGGGTTGGCGTGGCGGGCTTCGATTCGCAACGAGCCATCCAGCCGAGGCGCGCCAACTCCACAGCAGTTTGCGCAACCACCGGGAGGCATGCGAATGAGCACAGGTAACCCTAAACGCTAAACCCTAAACCCAGAGTGACAGCACAGTATTTAGGAGCATAAACGCCATGCGCACAGAAAAAGTCTTAAACCCTAATGAGACCCCATAAACTTGCCATAAACCCTAAGCCCTAAACCCTAAACCCTAAGCTTAAAACCTAGACCCTAACCCTAAATCTTAGACCCTAAGCCCTCAACCCTAAACCCAAACCACAGTTTTCCAATCCAGGCCTGACACCTCGCAGAAATTTTACTTTCCTCATCATCGTCGGCGCCCTTGTCGTGCTGGCCGCGGCGTCTTCGCAAGCAATCTTGGAGACGCATGGCTGGCACCCTTTGAAACAGATGTTCAGTGGTATACTAGCCTGCGCAGATACGCCAGATGTGGTTTAAATCAGGGTTCAAGAAGCTTTCGCACCGCAAGTCCTCCGAGGACATATGCGATGAGTTGGGTGCACCGCTAAGCGGCGATGCCTTCCGGGCTACTCGAGCAGTGGATGTGGTGTCGAAGGTTACTAAATAGAATCTATTAAGGTTACTAAATAGAATCTATTGCCGGATGATTCAGGGAAACCCGTAAGATGTTGCCGCGAGAAACTGCGCAACGCATCTTGCTGGGCCGGCAAAACCTTGGAGAAAAGAATGCTGCAGTCGGCTGCTGTCAACAGATTAGATGGGGTTCCTTACCTTTTCGCTGTTCTTCCCCGTACATCTGATCTCATGGAACCGGATCTTAATTGATTAGGAATTCGTGTTCGATAGAAACAACGACCTTTAGTTCGAGTTGATTGAAATTTACGTGCTTGTCAGAACTGATTTCTGTTTCTTCATCGAATCAAATTAAAATATCATTTATTTGGGAATCATTTTGAGGTTTTGGATTTGATTTTTCTTTCCTTTTTGGGAAAGGATCCAAAAGCTTCGTTTTATTGGGAATCGAAATTACACAAGGATCTAATGGACAGATATTATAGCATCTTTTGATTGAATTAGACTTGTTATACGATGAATGGATCTATATTAAAATTGATCGATATTTTTCGAGATTCTATTCGATTATGATTTGATATGGTAGATTTATGACGAACTATCGATGATCGATGTTCGATCGATGATTTTATCTAAGCGTATATTTTGTTCTTAATAAAATTCATGGGGTGAGTATCTTCGAATGATTTTGGATATTAGCTATCAAAATATAGAAAGCATTTATTAGGATGAATATTTGTATGAAATATAAATATACATATTTTCTATTGTGATATAAGGATATTCATATTTCAAGGTTCCGGAAAATCTGGGAATGGGGTAGAGGAGGGATGTCGATGGATGATGATTCTTTCTTTAATGTTTTAGTTGGGAGTTGGTATGGTTTCTTTGATGGATTTGATTGGTAATGTGGGGGGTTGATTTTGATTATTGGCCAAATTCAGGGGGATTATTAGGATGTATGAGGGGATATATTTGAGATGAGGATAGATTAGATATCTGATTTTAAGTAAATGTTTCTTGTATTTGCTTCTCTTATGGTTGGGCCTCGAGGATTATTAGATCTATATTATTGGTGGAATGA